CTTTAAAATATTATTTTATTTTTCGACCGGAACTCGTACGTCGGGAACATGCGTAAACGAAGATAATGGTCATTTTGTGACGGGGCCTTGTCCCGTTCACATCCGGCTCTCGCTCTTGACTATGTTAGTTTATTTGCCTGTAAATCAGCCGAGATATGTCTTATTTTATTTTATAACAGAGAGAAAAGTCCCCGATATTTCTGAGCCTCCCAAATCTCTATAAATACGGAAAATCTTCGCCTATTTGGCAGTGAGTATTCGACCACCATCCGTGAGGTCGGCGACAGAAAGGCAGTCATCTTCAAGAAAGAACAACCTACTATGGGCAGTTGAGAAAGAACGTCGGCCCATTGCTAAAAACCAATTGAGATCTACCTCCTTGCACCTAGAAGATATCTGTCGCCGGCCTACGAACTCACTCAACTACAAAAATTCATATATTCCGACAGTTTCCTCCCCTACAAGAACTCTGAACAAATCTGTGTGTGTTTTAACCTTTAACAGCAATCTACTACACACTTAAAGAACTTTCTTAGGCACTCAGAAAAATATTTTGAGCAAACTTTTTTATTTTTTATGAACATTTTTTCTTCCTTTAAAGTTAACGGAATTTTCTTCTCCCTTTCTTTCTCTCGTATTTGTGTTTATCCCTTTACCCTTTTTTGTACATGTAAATAAACGTTTTCTTTTAGTTTTATTGTTACACATCGAGCAGGAGTTTTGAGTATTTCTTTATTTAACCGCCTAAAAGAGAGAGTTTGTCCGCTCTAATCTTTCAAGTCGTATTTGCCTGTTTTTATTCAGTTTTGTCGCATTTTTTTAACCTCAACTATTTCATGTAGGAAAGCCGGGACAAATTTCCCACAAAGTGTGTAGAGCCAAGACAAACAAACAGGTTCTACCACCTCGGGTCAGAGTGGACCTGGGAACACCACCAATTAAGAGGTGGTTCCACGCTCTTCAGAACCTCCTGATTAGAGGCCTTGCTGTTGGACATAAATTATCGTCTTACCCAGGACGTGGACGTAGTTTATCGTCTTACCCAGGACGCGGACGTAGTTTATCGTCTTACCCAGGACGCGGACGTAGTTTATCGTCTTACCCAGGACGCGGACGTAGTTTATCGTCATACCCAGGACGAAACATAGACCTAAGATCAGCATTAGTTCAGGAGGGGAGAATATTATCATTTGCGTCAAAGGGACTAATTTCAACAGAATCCAGATATGCAAACATCAAAAGAGAATTGCTGGAGGTGGTACACGGACGCGAGAAATTTTATAACTACCTATAAGGCAGAAAATTTATAGTGGAAAGCGATCACCGCCCATTAGAGAAGAATCATAAAAAGGGCCTACACAAAGCTCCAGTCAGAATACAATGGCTACTCCTCCGACTACAAGCATACGACGACTTTACTCTGGTCTATAGACTGGGGAAAGAAATGGTGATAGCTGATGCCCTATCACGCCTATCTGGAAATGACAAATACGAAATAAAAGATACGGTAATCAAAATACACCAGATTGTTAGAACAGATCAGAGACCAGTAAAGAACAAGAATTAAAAATTCCCTCACAAGTTACACAACGGTGACCAGAAAAAAAAAAAAAAAAAAACAAAAAAAACAACAAAAAAACACCAGATACATCTAGCAATACGCTAATATTGGTCTACCAGAGATGACATTGCTGCGGAAAGTATGCTGGCTGAATGTTTAAAGTTAGAAAACACAGTACTCCTGGTATATTTATCCCACAGCAAAAATGGCGGACTCGGAATGTGAGTCCGAGTAATCAAATAAAAAGTAACAACAATACTATATATATATATATATATATAAACAAACGATAATGTATGTACCCTACACGCAAGACACCAATCTGCCACTGGATAGCATGCCACTAGCGTTCACCACTGGTGGCCCGCTGTCTGACCGCCAGCGTGTTCCTCTTGGCAATGTTACCACTGGCGGACAGCTACAAGGCCGCCGGTGGCTGCCACCAGAGGACCGCTGTGGGCCTCTAGAGACTTGCTTGTAGGGTACTAACAAAACAAGCATATACATAGACATTAGAATATTGTTGCGTGTTATTGAACAATGAACATGAATGAAGACGTGTAAACTAGTGAATTGTTTGAGTTTGTGAAGTTGTGTAAAGGTCCTAAAGGTAGGCGTTACATGGAAGAAAGTAAAGAGAAAGGTGCTGGCGTGTGTGGTCGCGTGTGTGCATTTCCCAGTGGGGAAAACATTTTCCTCGTTCAACCTGCATCTTACCGTCCCTGAGTGAAATAGTAAAAAGAGCATTACAGCGAGTGTCACTTCCTATTCATAGGCTTAAGAAGCGTCCCCCTAGAGGCAGTTTTTTAGGAAAATAAGTGAGGTAACTCCACAACATATCATTAGAAAATGGTATCCTGTTGGCTGGATCAAGAATAACAAGACCCAATATATTACAAATATGCAAGCTGAAGGCAAAATCTGCATATACAAAGCCATAGAAAAACGCAGTCTCAAAATGTCACATATGCCAGAAATACCAGAATACACAACAAAAAGAAGAAATTATATCTACTGACATACCAAGCAGACCTTGACACACAGTAGGCTCAGAACTGTTTACAATAGACCAACAATGGTATCTCATCAGAGTCTGCTACTATTCTAAATTCCCAATAGCCCGGAAATTAAAAAAAACATAAGAGCTGATACCATCAGCTCAACAAAACAGGAGATAATGTCAGAACAAGGAATCACAACGTTTCGTCCGTTGTACGCTCCGGCCTTCTTCAGGTGGTTGGAATGTCGAACTAAACCCTTTATTTCGCTCACTGGGGTAGACTGTTCTAGTTCCACGTGCCATGTCTAATGGATATCAGTTATCTGTTATCTCCTGTTAATTCCCCTCTCCAAGTTCTCCACTGCCTTAACCAGGTATTGAACTCACACTCTTTGGGTCCTGTCATTGGATGTAACTAACGCATTTATCCATTGTGCTAGGTGTCCTTAGTTAGATCCAGTGACAGGACCCAAAGTTTACACACAGAGCTGGATCTGTTACTTTTAAATCTATCGGGTTCAGCATTTCGCCCGGCAAGGATAGAGGTACTCCGTAAACGAGTTCGACTGGGGAGTATCCTAGATCCTCCTTAATAGCTGCACGAAGGACGATAGGTACGTACTCGCTCCATCGCTGCTGGTCCGGATAAGCACGCAATGCGGCTTTTAATTCTATCATACCGTTAGAAGCTGGGTCATAGCTAGTCGTACGTCGGTCGGTGTTAGGGACTTCGTAATGTGATATCCAGCCAAATATTATGACTCGCGAAACATATTCCGCCGTAATGTCGTATAGGGGAATGGCTTCAGGCCAACGTGTGAATTAACCTATACAGGTCAGGAGATATTCAGATCCCCGATTGACCGGCCACTGTCCAACGAGATCAATATGAACATGGCTGAACCTAGCGTCTGGAGTACTAAATGTTCCGAGAGGTGCGCGGATATGCTTGTGCACCTTTGATTTTTGACAGGATAGACAGGAACGAGCCCAGGCAGTGATGTCACGCCTCATATTCGGCCAGAAGAATCTATTCGAAATCAGCTTCACTGTGGCCGTGACTCCGGGGTGTGCTAGACTGTGTAGGGTATCAAAAACAGCCCGACGATGAGTCGTTGAGACAAGGGGGCGAGGTGAATCTTTTGAGGTGTCGAAGATCATCTGCGTGTCGGAAGTGGGCACAGGCAGATATGTAAATTTGTCGGTAGCAAATTCAGGCGACGACAGGTCCAACGTATCCAGACGAGGCTGATCTGAGGCCATTTTGTTGAAGGTCGATATCCGCAGGTGATGACAAAGAATTGATTGGCAGGCGAGACAAGACGTCGGTCGCTACGTTCTCTCCACCGGAGATGTGTCGGATATCGCTGGTAAATTGCGAAATGAAATCGTCGAAAGTCCCCAGTCGGACGCCAATCTCCAGAGCGCTTCGGTACTAAATACAAAGGGGAATCCCATGGATTGGATGACGGGCGTCTTACTCCCAGCTGTAGCATGTGGTTAAACTCAGCCTTTGCTACTTTCAATTTCTCCGCAGTGAGGCGGCGAGGACCTGAAAACACAGGGATAGCCAGTGGTCTCGATATGGTATTTTATGGAGTGAGTAGGCTTGTTCACCACAAAATTCAGGTTGGTCAATTCAGGAAAAGAAGATAGTAATGCCTGAAAAGGGTCATCAGAAGCGGCGATGAAGAATAACGGGCTGATAGAAGGGACCATAGTTTTCAAACCCGGGACGGAAAGTTCCGTATTAGCATCAATCAGCCGGTGTCCGTGCATATCAACTAACAGGTTATAGTGATACAGAGAGTCCGAGCCCAGAATGGGGTAGGGCAGATCGGCGATCGTGAAAATCCCCGTAAAATCTCTTTGTAATACCAAGTTCAGAGAACGAGAAATTTGACCGTACATGGGAATCGGTGAATGATTTACGGCTTGCAGCAAAATCGATGATACTGGCGGTTTCTCAGTGAAAAGTTTCAAAGGCCATATGCTGCAACGGCGCCTGTATCGACCAAACAGCGTGCTTGGGATATGGAGCCTGTTAGAAAAAAATATACGGTTATTAGGTAGTGCCTGGGGAGACTGTGCCGTACTCAGGTCTCCGGAAATCAGTTTTCCTGGTTTGTAAAAGAACAGGGCTGTTTGCAATTATGTACCGAAACGATTGTGGTAGAAACGTAGTCCTGGTTTGTTTGTTTGTTTGTTTGGCGGCGGTGTGGCGATGGCGAACGGTTCTGGAATCGATGTCTGTGCGACTGAGATCTGGCGACATTCAATCTTCTCACTTCTTTAGTGAATCGCTCTCGGGCTTGAAGTATAGCCAAGGATTAATTGATGTCATATGTAAGCGTTGGAGAGAACGAGGATACATGAAATGTAGCGAAGAAGGCAAAGCTGCCTTGAAATATCCACTCTTCTGTCAGCCAACGTCGCGAGATGGTTAGCAGAGCTTATCTCTACTATAGGCGCCAAAATCACCTGAACATTCTGCGGCAGCCTCGAAAAGAAAAGCTGCTTAATAAGTGCGCTGTCTGCAGGTGCAGCTTCTGCAACTTTTCTCATGCGCTGCAACAATTGGCTCGGTGTACGGTCGTCCAAATGCTCGTCGTTGACCAAGGTCTGAAACCTTTTCTCCGCGGGCAACGACGTTCGGAGCAGAACCTCGCGTTTCACGCTCTCATAAGTGGATCCAGGGGGTGGATCAGTAATAATGCCTTTTATAGTAGGCGTCACCCACTGGATGCATCTGCAGACAGCGCACTTATTAACCAGCTTTTCTTTTCGGGGCTGCCGCAGAATGCTAAGGCGATTTTGGCGCCTATGGTAGAGATAAGCTCAACTGACTATCTCGCGACATCGGCTGACAGAATAGTGGATATTTCAAGGCAGCCTGCCTTCTCCGCTACACTTCAGCCAAATTCTACATTATTCCAATACCCAAAAAATTGTTGGGTTAAATCTGTGCCAAAAGTGGATCACAGGACACAAAAAATATCAAGCCCTCATTGGTTAATACAAGTAGGCCTGACTATCTACCCACGCTTAACTAATTTTTACAGTTCGTGACTGAAATACAAGTTCGCGCCAAGTATCTGTGAGTCACCAGAAGCAAATAAAAACAGAAATTCATACAAACTCGCCTGTCAGTATTGTGACATCAGCCAACGTCCCGTTTTGTAGACCGATTTTGACTGGGGATTATCACTCGACTCTTTCTGACAATCTATGATCTTTTTCAACTGTAAACTACATTTACGTTAAGTTTGATTTATTTTTTTATCATTTTTCTTGCGTTCTTTTCTTACGACTGTTTTGCAAAAGTTTTTGATTTTTTCTTTTTCAGTTTCTTACCCTCCCCATTTTTTATTTTTCCCTTTATTTCGTTCTTATTATTAGTTTTCCTTTTGATTTTCTTTTACTTTTAAATTCCCTTTTGAATCTATTTTTTCCGTTTTATTTTCTGTAACCCTGCCAGAGTTTATCTACCACTCGTCCCTTCAGCCCCTCAACCTCCGGCGTCTTCCTCTTTGGGTTGAGACGCCCACTCGGTCTGAACCGAACTCAGTACCCGTAGATTGTTCTGAGTACCCGTAGATTGTTCGACCGGTCACTGGCCAAGTTCCGCCTGTTGTCCACGTTGTGTTAGTTTTTAGATCCAGTAAGCGCGGTGTTGTCCATACGTTCACGGTCGATTGGGGATGTAGGCACGGCTGTGAGGGTGGGCGGCAGGAAAATTAGAATGTGGCAAACAAGGAAATAATATCTGCAGAAGCCGAACAACAATGGGTAAAATATTGATGCCTTTTATATAAGAAAACAACAACAGTAGAAAGAGTTTACAGAAAGGATAGAAAAGCAATTAACATAAGAACAGAGGACCACTCCTCTACCAATTATACCAACAGAGAGAGGTGTGTGTGTGATTAACTCGTTCCAAATCAACTTGGGAGGATATGTGACTCGTAATTCCAGCCCTATGTGGAAGTGTAGCTTTTCAGTTGGTTGTCGTAAGTGACAAACGTTAAATTTCAGCGACTTTTCAATGCGACTGCTACAACGACGATGATATTTATTGAAGTCCGTATCTCTGACTTGCCACTGGACCGACTCACTGAAACAACAGTCTCTCTCTCTCTCAACGTCACTCACGCCCAAGTCTCCCCAACTCAGCAAAACTCGCGTTTATATAGCAAACCGAAGGTTATAAGCCAGGTTGTTCACGCGCTTAACACGAGTGTCGCCATAAGCAAAGTTTAAATTCAGATTTATTTCAAATCTCTTAGTGGATAAAATTAATTAGTTCAATGTTCATTTCAATTGTCTGTTCGATGACCAAATTCAGCGGATACAACTTATGTTTAGATCATATTTCGCTAGCGGTAGACATACACTGATCTTACCTCCCCGGTCCAATTTACTTCAATATGTTTTTATCAAAAATATTATTTTTGTCTATTTTTTTAATGACCCAAATTAAACATCGCCTCCTGCCCTTTTGCATTTGTTTATAAACAAGTCCTCGCCAACCCGAGTTGAAATTTATTCTTTATCCATCAGCCGTCTCAGGTTTCATATATCATTGTTCTAGATTCTATCCTATTAATAGCGCTGACACAGTTTGTAACTTTCACGGAAGATCGTGTTTTCCATCTTCAATCAATAAACGTTATATTTGCGTGTGTGCATTCATGTGCGTCAACCTCTCTCTGTTACATATCTGTTTATTGTTCTACGTGTTATTTTTTTCGCCAGACTTTATTTTTCCTTGTTTATTTGTTACGTGTTACTTCGTTCTTTGTTTTCCTTTTAAATATCCGTTAAGTCTTCTGTGTTTTATTTGTTAAAAGTTCTGTGTACATATTTGTTCTAATTTTTTGTACTTATTTTGTCTAATCTGTTCGTTTTTTCTTCTCGTTTACTTTTTCATTTGTTATCGGATTGACTCGTTTTTTAACAGCAGCCATTTTACTTTTGCGATAAGTTATGTATCTATTGTTTCGTATTTTCCTTATGTACCGTTTTGTTTTATTTTAGTGTTGTATTATTTTTTACAGACCTATTGTTTTACTAATTTACTGCGTGTAATTTTATTCTTTTGAGTAATCGTTTTTTGCGTGTTTTTCCTGATTTTTGTTGTTTATATTTTTTCCGCACATTGTCCTTTTTTGCGTACGTTTTTCTTTTAAGTAAACGTTTTCTGCACGTTTAACTGTTGTTTTTTTATTATTTTGTCCCGTTGAATTTATTTTTGTGATTTATTCGTATTTCTTTTTTCTTTTTTTGTATTTCTGTTACTTTTTTGTGAAAGAGAAAAACAAATATCTTGTTTTAAAATAAAAAATGGGAGCCAAGAAGACAGCCAGAAAAATCTTTTGGGGACTAAGAAAAAGAAAGATCAGCCTGATAAGCTTTCTGAAAATAATAATGACACGGAATTAGTGATGGATACCGAAGAGAACCAAAATTTAGGCGAAAATTCGGTTTCCACCGAAAGTATGTGTCCCCAAATGTTGATAATTTGGGAAAAACCAAGACAAAATTATGGTGGCTGAGAATGGTCAAATTTTTTCAAACGAGAACCAGAAAAGTGACGACAATGGAAACAAAGACGAAAATGTAGCGGTCGGAGAGACATTCACTTGCTGGACGTCCCCACGAAAATGTAAAATCAACATAATGGAGTTCCTGGAGAAAGCCAAGAGCTACGCACATCTTGTCACAGCAATGGCTTCTTGTTAAATCCCGAGGAACTTAAGAATGTTGAAAAAAGAATTGTGTCAGTCTTTGTGGTGGACTAGCGTTCGTTCAAAATTTGTCGCGCACAGAAGACACTATTATTAAAGCCTTGACTTCACTGGGCATTAAAGCTCAGAGGGTCATCAAAGGGAAAGGCTTTTTTTAGGTGGGACGTACTGTTACCCACGCCTGCCGATTGTGAAGTAGCAACCACAAGAGACATAATAACCAAAGACCTAATTCTGCTCACTGAATATGAAGATAGGCGGAAGACCAACGTTCAGTATATGAGGTTCCTCCTTAGATTGTCGGAGAGCACTTGGCTGCCTATCTGTGCCAGTTTGGACAGATACTCAATGATTCCTCTGACGATCTGGCCGGGGTGATTTTAGGATCATGATTGATAGGAAGGCCTTCATCTCCATCCCTAACTGTCTGAATATAGAGAGCCAGAAAATGCCGATAATAGTCACCGGGTGTAGACCAACATACTGGAAGTGTGAACAGAAGGGTCACCTGTCCTCTTCCTGCACAGAGAAGAAGGGCTCTGAAGTTCTGGACCCCGCCCAACCAAATCCCCCTTTGGTCGGAATCCCCCGTTGTTTCCGTCTCGCCTGTAATGGGCATGACCGGTGTGGATAATCCCCCGGTTGGGTTCAACTCTCAGCCCCCATTTCCCTAAGAGCCTTTGCCCGCCGCTAGTGCGCGTTGCGGAGAAGGGAGAGAGGGAATGGCAGGTTGTTGGTAGGGCAAAACGGAACCTCCAGGCAGCGGGACCTCGTTCCACAACAACTAAAACAGGCAAAGACACAAACAGACCCACTCCTTCTTGCAGCTCCAAGGGAATCTCCCCGACCAGCTATTCCGAAAGACTCAAGCAATATGAACCAACCTACGAAAAAAAAAAAAAAAAAAAATACAAAAATTGAAAGAACCCCTAACACAGAAACGTCTACAGGCGGAAAAATTTTAGTGGCTCATCTTCGGTTTCAGCTTTTCCAGTTTATAAACAGCAGCATATGGCTCCTCCTCCTATAACACAAATACTGACACCCACCCTTTCCAAAATGACTAACCTGAAGAATGCTCCCAGTACCAAATCCTTAGCCCAGAAAAAACCTACCCCTTCCCATACCCTAACCCTTCCCCTGTCCAAACTCCCATCCGCTTCCCAGAAAAACAAAAAAAAAATCAAAGAAGTCCGTCAACGGACGAGATAGAATCTGTTACCAAAAGAAAAAAAAATCACCAACCCTAATGTTAATACCGGAGAAGATGTTTGCAAAATATCGAAAGTACAAGAAGAAAGGTTAACGACACAAGTCAAAAATTTTAGAGACTTAAAACTTGACCCCGACACTAAGAAAATTAACAACTTAGGGTCAAAATTCCTAAAAACTTCAAATGCAAAAGGACGTAAAACCATTTCAGGACTTTATCCACAGGTTTATCTTGTCCATAATAATGGAATGAACACTCCTTTGGTGTTTCCTTGGACTTATTGGCGGTTTTGCATAATGATAATTCTAGCTAACCTCGACCGAGTTTTGTTAAGAGAGTCGATGTCGCTCTTTCATTGTCCAAGTTTCCATTACATAGTTTATTCGGATCATACGTTGTCCGGGTCCGTGTAAAATCAATGTTAGGATGGATGGCTACTGGAAATTAAACTGCTCATTATTTGGTGAGCAGGATTTCTTTGGGAGCTGCTACTCAGGGGAAATGACGGGGGCTGTGATTCAATGTCTGGTGGGACAAATTAACGGCTTGGAGCAAAAAGTAGATCGGGCAATTAAATCTCGGAAATAGCTTTATCAAGAAAGATCAAGCTCTGGTCGGATGTCTCGGTTAAAAAGAATGTCCTCTGAGGCGACGATTATGGCCGCGAATCGTGCAGAGGGTGGAATGCATCTCGGCGGCATATCGCGTGCGTCAGATTGCCGGATAAGCCTTGACTTGCGGGCTTATAAAGGCTTTTGTCTGGGGGCGTTACTTTCAAGAACTTTTTTGATGGACGCTCGGGGTTGAGCCCTGCTGGTTCGACGCCTATTTAGGCTGACTTTCCTTGCCTCGAGGCAGCAGATCCGGCGGGTGCCACTTCCCATCACAGATCGTTAAATCTGGGAAGGATAAGCAGGTTGGCCTGGATAAATTCCGGGATTAGATGGTCTTCCCAACGAAGTTTACTGAGGCAGTCCCCGTTTTGTTTCCTTTGATGGAACTGTTTTTTACAACAACTGGATGAAGCAGGGGTCTACACCTCAATGCTTCACCAGGGGTGTAGATCGTATTGCTCAAATTTAGGACAAGAACAGTGGGGATGGATTAGATAACTTTCGCCCTTTAACCATGTTAAATACAGAGTTAAAGATTTGGGCAGGGATCTTAGCCAACTGTTTGCAGCTTGTCCTGTCTAGTCTGATTGGCTCCGAACAGACTTGTGCTGTGAAGGGCAAGACTATTCAGGACAACCTTCATATGGTCCACTTGATCATCGAGAAAGTCGACAGTGAAGCCGCGCTGATCATTTTAGATCAGTCCAAGGCCTTCGATAGGGTTGACCTGGAGGCTTTCCTTTCGGCGGTCGGCTTCAGGCCGGGATTTCGCATCTGGATCCGACTTCTGTATGCAACTCCCGGTGCGCTGGTGGAAGTGAATGGGGTAAGATCGGAACCTTTCGTATTGTCTCGTTCCATTCAAAGCTGTCCGCTTTCGCCTATACATTACGTTCTTGTGTTGGAACCTTTCCTTTGTAAGTTAAAGGCGAATCCAGTCCTACGCGGAATTTCCCTACCTGGTTCTACCACCTCCGCCAGGTCTTCTGCCTATGCTGATGACGTTTCGATATTTGTATCGAGCAGAGCCGAGATTGACAAAGTCAGCAAAGAGATCAGTGGTTATGAGATGGTGATAGGGGCCAAGATCAACCGCGATAAGTCTGTTGGCTTGCGGTTGGGTGCGTGGAAGGGAGTTTCTCTTCCTAGACCTTTCCTTTGGACGGATAGGCCGGTCAAGATACTCGGCGTCTGGTTCGGTCCTGATATCCATCTGGATATGAATTGGTCGGAGGTACAAGGGAAGGTCGAGATCGCAGTTAATCTGTGGTCTCGGAGGAATCTCTCCTTGAAGGGGGAGGCGGAAGTATGTGTTTCACACATCTATCCGATTCTCCTTTACCAACTCTCTGTACTTCCACTTCCGTATGCCACACTAATGTCATTAGTAAGGCTCTTGTTCTCCTTCTTGTGGAGAGCCGTATCTATCTCGGAGATCTGTTGCCTTCATCCATCTGAAGGCGGTCTAGGAATGCCTAGCATTGAGATTCATCAATATATGTTTTGCATCGTGTTCCTAGATCGAATGTGTCGCGAATCGGATGAGAAGGGTACCTTCTGGAAGGAAGATGCCCGCAAGAACTTCCCATCCCTGAGAAGTGTGCACTCGTAGGAGTAGGAGGCCCGCCGTTTACCCCGAGCCGAATTCTCCTTTTACCGTGAATGTCGTCTTGCTCTGAAACGCCTCTATGGGCGTCGGATGGCCTCTTCAATGTTCAGGCGTTGTCTCAAAGGGCATTATATCAGGTGTTAGTCAGGGGGTCCGTTTGTGATGAGTTGATTGAAGAGCTCGGACTTATGAAACAGGAGGCTCGCTCAATATGGCCTTGGGCGCCCAAGTTAAAATGTCAGATGAGGCATCTCTCACCTTGCTAGTGATTCGTGGGTTTGAAGAAATCTCCAAACTGCCGACGCTGTGATGAGGAAGTCGAGACCCTTGGTCATGCCTTCTTTCATTGCAGGGTGGTAGCGCCGTTGTGCAAGTTTGCTGAAGGCCTCATGGTTCGCATGCAGGAAAAGTTTTTTTGTCCTTGAGGCCAGTTCTGTTTGTAGCAATGTGGTGCCGCAGATGACGAAGGCTGGACAATGTTCTTTTTGCTTGCTAGATGTTACAAGTGTCGTGATTTGGACGACACGTCAGAAGGGATTCTATGGAGGCGAGAAGCTTACTTCTTCCCAACTGATCTTGTACTTTAAGAATCAGCTTAAAGTCAAGATTAAGACGGAAAAGCGGCGGTTCACTTCATTAGAATTTGGCAAAAGGTGGGTGATTCTTGCGCGATTGTGTCGAGTGAAAGGGGCTGACCTGGAGTGGCACTTTGATGCTGGTTAGGCATCAGGATATTGTTTTTCCTGGGTTCAACATAGGCAACCCATCCCGAAATTAGGCTAGTTTAGGTTTGTTTTTGAATCTTTAGTTTCTTTTTTCAGTTAACTTAGCTAGGGTATCATCGGCCCCTTTTATTTGTGTCCCTATTTTTCTTTAGTTTAATTCCCCATCCCCGTTCAGTGATGACAGTTCCCTAGTAGATGCGGGATGCCTTTCGTTTCGCGTGTGTGTTTTCGTATTTGTTGTTGTGTTTGAATGAGTGCGTGTCTGTGTGAGTGCTTAGGATGAATGAATGTTTTGTACTATTATAATCCCGCATCGATTTCGTCCAGTTTAACTGACGTTTCTGCCACATTTAAGGATTATGGGGGCGGGTGGTTATTACTAACATTATTTTGTTTAGTTTCTTGTAAATAATTTTGTTCCATATTGTACATACTCATTGGGGATTTTTTAAATTGTTGTTTTATTCCCTTCCCCAGACAAACAATGGGGACTATTTAGGATTTTCATAAAGATAATGGGTGGATGTAGTATTTAGTGGACCGTTTGTTTTGTTGAGAGTACACATGTGGGTTCAGGTATCCAACTACATAAAAAAGGTTGGACTATTAAGTCCAAAGAATGCAAAGAAAACAAACAAAACATTAAAGACCGATAATATATTTATACAAATATATATATAAATAACAGGTTACATAGAAACAGTTACAAAAAGGACAAAGTGTGTGTGAATATTATATATGTGTTTGTGTGTTTTGTGTTTTGGGAAACGCTATCATGATTAGGTGTTCACATCTTCGAGGTAATAAGGCTGAAAGCCTGAGGAAAGTGTTTGTCGGCTAAAGGCCTGCTTTTAAAGGTGGCGACAAAGATGAAGACCGTCCTTTTAGCCAGGGAATCCCTCTGGTGATTTTGGCATGATGCCACTATTTTTGTATGTTTGTGGCCTATTTAAAGTTAAGACAGATAAAAACCGTAATCCCCATGGACATTGTGCCACATTTTGTACCAAACAATCGTGAAACATAAACTAAACTCATGTCACACAATCTTAAGTTTTTTCGTTCATACGAACATTATACAACAACGATAATCACACTCATTCACCAAAACTCACCAGTGGACTCTATTCCCATTCTCTCATCAAATTCCTTACGCAGAAGTTAAACAAATTCCTGCTAACAAATCAATTTATTTCTCAACATTCGAGAACATTGTATTACAAAAACAATCAAAGGTAGATAACTTCTTTGATCACAAAATTGCATTCAAATTTACAAACATTTACTACTACATGAACAGTAAATTCTTAAATGTAAATTTTTTCTCTTGCAATTAATTTACAGAATCTTCAATAATAAATTCTAACAAACATTTTTCAAATCAGAACTCATTAACAAAATTTAATCTTTCACCAAACTTGAGTTCAACATAAATTAAACTAACAAGATTTCACCTAAAAAAACTACATTTTGTAAAATTTTTCATTATGAAAAAATATATTGAAAATTACTTGTTATTCAAATATTTGCCTTTTGTCTTTTATCACGAATGTTTCTTCTTGTTTTTGCATTTTGCTTAACATATTCGTAGAGTAAAAAAAATTGTATGGATTGATTTGGGTTGTCAACACTATTAAATAAATGGTAACCACCAAACTTTCTTCTACTACACTACCACCCATGAAATTTAGATAAAAAAAGAAGAAAAGAATGCAGAACTTCTCAAGAAAGAGGGGTGTTAAGAGAGAAGAGAATTAAGCGAGGGCCCCAACACACATGCGCCGAAAACGGTGTATAAAGGAAAACAGAACCAGGACTTTTTGATAACAGATGACGAGACAGAGAAATGTGTAACCCGTATGTAAGAAATAAATATTGTTAAACATCAAATATTAACTTTAGTTATTGTTTAATAACTACAAAACATAATAAATGATAAAAATAAACAAAAAAAGTATCTTGTCATTCTGGTTCAATGAAACATGTAATAAAAAGGGATTGTTGCAAATTAAACAACTACGTCTCAACAAGTCTCAGCTCTTCAAAATTAATTTAAAAAACCTATTATGCACCCATTCATTTTATTATATTTCTTGAATAAACGCAGCGCGAAGTGTTCTCTTTTACTACTGATGATCAACAGTTGATCGATTTCTCTTAGTCTAGAAAAGAAGTCTTTTGTTCCCTTCGAGCATCCGTATTTCGAAACCAACGAACATCTGCAGTTACATTTACAACCACTTGTGACTGCTAAGAAGAAGTAGTAAAGATATTTCTGTTTCAGTAACTGTTGCTTGTTTTTCGATATCTTCCCTGTCTGTTAATTTATCCGAAATTATCCGAAGATGCCTTACATACTCGTCAGCACACAGATTAGATTGGTAAGTTTCATTAGAAAAAAAGAAAAGGAAAAAAACTAAGACGTAGGGAAACTCGTAACAAGTTGTTTTGGCTTTTAATAGCTGCTGCGCTTTTTTGAAAAATACAATTTACTTACGATGATTTATTGATAATTTTCTTATATTTTTTTATGTGCCTCTTTCACAGGATGTCATCCTTCCTTGCTTAATGTCGAAATTTGTTTAGCAAGAAATGTATTAACATTGCAGATTTAGGAATACGTTAAAAAAATGCTTTTTTAAGAACATTTTTATAAAACATTTTTGTGCTTCCTGATGATAGAAAAGTGCGTGAACCTATTTTTTTTTAATTATTTCGATATTAATGCTTTTAAATCGTAATTTTTTTTTTAAAAAAAAAGGGGGATAAGTTGATTTATTTGAAAAAAATGAACTAAAAAATGTTTTCAAATCAAGAATGAATTATTATGTTGTTTTTATTGGCCCGACTACACATGACATTGACAATGAGTTCATGAAATAAAAATCACTAAAAAAGACCATCATGATTAAAAAAAAAAAACGGCCTTAAACTTGGCTTGATGAAAATTGAAAACGAAATTTTATCATCTGAATATTTAGGTTATTATAAGGCCAGAGCATTTTTTTTTAATTTTGCATCCTTTTTAGAACATCCTAACTTTTGATTAAAAATTTCTCTTTGCGAAAAAAAAAAAAAAACAGTTGTTAAGAAAAAAATATGGAATTGGTAAACACACACATAATTATCATTGCAAAAATTAAAAACCCAAGAATGATTCATAATAAAATAAATTCACCTCGTCTAATAATAAGCCTTCAATGAGCAGTTATCAATTTTAAAATTAAAACTAACAGTAGATAACAATTATATGAGCAGCTTGTTCAATGAGGCCTGAGGTGTGTACAGTACTTGTCAAAATATTGTGACGTGATTATTGCATCACTTTTTTTTTAACTAAGCTTATTTCCATTTTTATTTTTTAGTCAGCTGTTTTATCATTTTTTTTTCAAATCCTTGTCTACCTCCAGTATGACTATGTGTCCAGTAAAATGTAGTTAAGTCAGTTTGTTTTCTTTTTTCGGTAAATATTTCCATCTCTCTCTCTCGTCACTATATTATGGACGTGACATTAAACTTAAAGTAATATTTGTTTTAAAATCAAATTGATTAAGCTTTATGAATATATATTCCTTAAATACAGTTTAAGAAAGGCGTATTTTACTTTTTAAAGAAAGATTTTTAATAAAGAGAATTACATTGCGATGACAGGAGGTTAAAAATAGCGCTAAAAAAATCAGCCATGATTAGCAATTTCAAAACAAAAACTCCTTTCTTTCAGTTAATTTAAATTAGTTTTGTTTGCTTTTGTTTGAAGTACAGCAAAGTATTTTGCTTATTGGAAATATTAAATTTAATTTTAAAATCTTTTAGCTTGAAATTAAGACTAAAATAAAAGCTTCAATAAATACTTTTCATTTTTAAAAAATCATTTTAAAACCTTGTTGCGGACCCGGTAGGGTGCAGTGCTGGATTATACTGAGTGGCCTTGTGCCAGACACCACACTAAACTACCGAGTCTACAAGCAAAGTAAAAATAAGTAAAATGCGTGAATGAACAATGAGAGGAAAGGGGTCAATCAACAAGTGCATAAATAAATGGTATTAAGATAGCCGAAATAAAAATGACAAAGACATCTGTTTATAAAACATGAATAAACAAAACTTTAATTAAACAGTAACAAGTAACTTAGCTCAAGGTAGGGATCAATGAAAAATGTTCCGCGCCAAAATAGAAATACAAGATGGCCAAAGGCGGGAAAATAAAGTTTTATACAGTTCCGGAAAAAGGTGGTCGCACAGATAGAAAGGAGTACTCACTGTGGATATTTTAAGTTGTAAGTGATTATGCATATTTTTAATGTACAGGTTCAAAGTTATAAAGAATGTTCGGTAAATATTGAATTGACCGCTGGTAAATGTTCTGGACTGCTGTGGGCATCTAGCCGAGGGAGAGACGAAGCATGGTCTTGTAGAATGGTTTACGGCGAGCCCAAAGAGAAAGACGAAAAAATGTTTTTGTTCAAAGGTAATACTATCCCTGCCTGTATTATTTGGTTCAAGCCAGGGGTAAGTTTAAGTCACCTGTTGAACACGAAGTTTCTGCCGACGACAGTGTCGTGTGTCTCTAAAAACGTCTTCTGGTAGAAAACGGAAAAAAGGTCCTGACCTGTGATTAGCAATTTTTTCGTTCAGTAGGATATCCCTGCCTATACTTATTAGGCCCCTGACGAGGGATAAAAATACGCCATTAGTTGCATCTGAACTTTCCAGTAGAAAACGGAGAAAAGGTCCGCCTGTTGGCACAAAGTGTCGGTATCTCATTTCCAGAAAAATATCTTCCAGTAGAAAACGAGAAAAGGTCCGACCTGTTGGCAGCTTCAAAAAACGGAAAAAAAGTCTTGGTAGAGGGTGCAGTCGACATTGTTGAAAAATAAGATATTTATTAGACCGGCGAAAGGTGTTATGGGTTAAGGGCACGGAATAAATGAGTTGCCCATCCAGTTAAATTAAGGGTTTAACGAAAGTCTCGAGAGGCAACTGGATTGCAAACGTTAGGTTTTAAAAAAAAATTGAGTTTTTTTCATCCACAACACAAGTTCCTCAAAAAATCAAATTGGTAAAAATTCAAAAAAATCAAAAGTAATTTGCATAAGTATCACGAAGTAGCAGCTCGTCTTGACTGCTGACCAAAACAGTTACTACTGTATTAACTAAAAAATGAACAAGAAAAAGGGGTGTCAAACGCGGTATTAAGATACAAATAAAAATGACGACATCGTTTATAAACATGTAAAAAACAAAAACAGGGGAGGAAACTTCCGCCAAAATAAAATTATAAATGGAATTAATGTTAATTCCATAACCTTAGAAAGGAGTATCACTGAATCTGTGGAGGTGCCTTTTAATGTACAAATTATTTTTTTTAAAATTGCACTGTTCAAAAAAGAGTTTTGTTTCTACAAGAACAAGATTGTTTTTGAGGCCATAAAACCGCCTCTATTTCACTCCCTACCAAAAACAAATGAAATAAAATGGCCAAAATTATCTCCCGAGTTTTATATGTTACCTACCAAGATGTTTAGATTACTTTCTTGTACGTACCTGTCCTAGCCTAACCCAAATATTTTAATGTAGACTGTAGACTAGTGTATAGTGCGCCTTAGTTATCGGCGGTGGGTTGATTTTGTTTCTACAAGAACAAGTTAGCCTGGTTGACTATTCGATCTTCACTGGGTCAAGATGTTTAGTTTACCTGTAGTGCCAAATATTTTAATGTAGACTGTAGACTAGTGTATAGCGCCGCCGCAGAAATTTTGGTGGTCATGTTATGCAGTCTATCCATACGCATACAACATACATACATACATACAAAATACAAATCACATACAACGCCAAGCATTCATTGGTTAATTAATCACCACTACGTTATTATAGACAATTTACAAATCGCAGCTATGCGACAATTTTGTAATCGCTCTATTTTCATGTAGTTAATTTTGTGCACATTTTGAGAGAAATGGATCACAGAAGCTTTCTTAAGTCTCCCCAAAGCTTGTTCGCTGATTGGTCTATGTCAACCAATCAGATCGTCTGCACATGAAGAATAATTCTTCCCATGCAGCGATCTGGAGCCTATAGTCACTTATTTAAGCAAGAATTTTTCTTAGCTAATTAGTGAAAATTCAGCTGCCAAACGAATCCAAACAGTTGAAACCATGTGCAAACCTTCTCACTCACACACACCACTCACATGCTGAACATACCTTGTATACACTCACATAATCTTTTCTAACATGGCAAATCTTTTAAGAACAGTCATTATAAAAGACTCTCATGAACATTATTCCAGTGAACTTTGAAATACTAAAATAACAGTTAAGGAGAGACTACTCTTGTCTATTTCAACCTTTTCTTACTTAAATGCATGCTTTCTTTCAAATCATTTTTTGATACTGTACATCTTGTTAAATACATATTTTATGTGTAACAATGTCTTTTGATTATCCTTTTTTGCATGAGCCTTGTTTCCTAATCTAAAGTTAAATTAATGTGGTGAAGTCTGCCACAATGACTGTTTCAATTCATGACTGACTAGGCAGATGATATTCCCGCAGTAGGCTGCTGTTTCTTTTTGCAGTAAACTGGTTGCCAACCAGGGCTATAGAACTCATGGATTAGTCAGTCAGTTAAGTTCCATATGTGATATAGACTTGGGCGATCATGTCTCTTTCAATTCATTATTGACTTCTTTTTGCAGTAGACTAGTTACCAACCAAGGTGATAGGGCTCAATCTAGCTGGGAGCAAAAGAGATGAATTCATTCATACTTTTCCCAAGTGTATTTGCACATAAGTGAATGTAACGAACCTGACTGGAATTCGAACTTAGTTCAATGATTTCTCAATCTGAGCCGATATCCATGACATCACAACGTACATGCTCACTGGGTGCCCTATGCAAAATCCAGCATTAAATAACCCAGCAACAGTTGGCAGATAAAATCAGTTGGCAGGTAAAATGTTATTAAATTGGGGGAGTCATATACTATCACATAATTCTTTTCTATGTGCTGAGTCCCTTCATGACGTTGGCAATCTATGATTCTCCACAGTTTCCTGTCCTTTGTAGCTCTTAATAATTTTTTTCCTTTTGCTATCTCTCCTTCATGATCAAAAGTCAGATATTAAGTTTAGCGTTTCAATCGACTTTTTTTATACCAAATCCTCATTTACTTCCCTTATAAAGTAAATTTAAATATATATTCATGCATTTTTCTTTTCAGACATTAAATTATTGAATTTAAGACTTAACTCATAAAAACAAAAAAATGATTAACTTTTTTTTTAGTTATATAAAGTTACTGCATTTCAGATGCTATTTTTAAAGTTTTGTTTTATTTTTTGTTTTGTTAAAGTTTTGAATAAAACAGATAAATCAATGTTTCAGTTTGATAAGCAGAAATTGTTAGAAACGATAGACTTTATAAATTATAGAAAACCATAAATCTCCATAATTAATTCATTCTTTTATGTTTTCATAATTTTTATAAATTTTTCTTTAGAAAAATAAAATAATTTTAAAAAGTCTGTCCATGTGGTGGAGAACAAAAACATTATTTACAAGTTAGTTAATTTGTTTGTTGTGTCACATCGTGGAAGCCTTTTAAATTGTTAACAAAAAAAAAATGGTGTAATTTGCTTTTTAAGCCCCGCACTAAATATGTAATAAAAATTAGCTAAATAGTTATATTTAGGTTTAACTATATATGCTTAATTTGAAATAACAAAGACATTTTTTTAAACTCTACTATTTTGGAGTTCTCGACAACAGAAGTTTAGACTCAGTTGCATTGCAGCAGTCATTACTGGTGTTGTTTGCATATATTTGCAGTGGGACATTCTTGATTATTGAGCACGCAATGAATCCTTACTAATCACAATGTAATATTCCTCACAAATCTAATCAGCAGTGAATGTATGCAAACAATGCAAGTAATGGCTGCCGTGACATAACGTGAATGAATCCAAACTTTTATTGTCGATAATTCCTAAATGGTAGATTTTATTGAAATTTTTTTGCTATTTTTTAATTAAGCATGTACATTTACACCTAAATATAACTATTCAGCAAATTTTTATTACATATTTAGTGCGGGACTTAAAGAGAAAATTACCGAAAAAATGCTGTGTATTTATTCATTTTTAAGGCGCTGCAATGTCATCTTTTAGATTCCACATGTCCCAAAATGGAAATATATTTCCATTAAAATGGCCAAGACCTTTCTTTCTTTTTTTTTTTCACAATTTTTAATCTCTAAAGCAAACAAACCATTTTTTAGTTCTAACCAGTCTAGTTAATAAAAAAAAAGAAAAAAAATCACAATGAACTGAAGGTTGTTAATGTGAAACAATGAAATATCTGCTGTCTGTCACATCTAGATAGGTATTTCTCGATATATTTATCCATGCAACCATGTCACAACAGAATAAGACATAAGGCTGGAGTTAAAAATGTGGGACTTCTAGAAATGCCATATAAAAATTGCTCAAGACCCTGCACAGGCCTCTCTCATAGAAGAGGTACTTATCTGTGCGGATGAACCCTGCAGCTTGAGCTAATATTAATTTCAACCTCCTTGGTGTACTGACAATGGACTATTTAAATAGATTGGTCCATTCAAAAAAAAAAAAAAAAAACAGAGAGAGAATTTTAGGGGGAAATAATTTTTGTAGATTAGCATGTGACTTAGCCAAAAGCCAATAATTCTGTAAAAGCCTAGGATGAATTTGACACTGTGTCAATTGTAGCAGATGTTATATCTTTTCGCCAGATACACATGAATAGTAATTCTTTTTCAGTTTTTTTTTTTCAATCCTGTGCTAGAGTTGAGGTAAGAGGCTAAACTTAGCTTTCTGAAAACACACAACACCTCAACCTAAATAGGACCTCTCTTCTTACTAAATTGATAACAAACCATTATTTTTCTAATTCTGGCAAATATTACTGTCTAAGGGAGGTCCAAAAAGAATGCAATTCTACAAAAATTATTTTACCAAAAAATTTTTCCCTTTTTTATGAGTGGATCACAATATTTCAGTAGTTCCAATTTGTAATTAAAAAAAACAAACTTATTTTATTTTCAATTTTATATTAAAGTACAAGTTTCTGTTTGCATTTTTATTTTAATTAAAAATAAAAAGATTTCAAGTCAGTGTACATGGCAAAGAGCTAAAGCATTGCAGTTTAATTTTTCTGCTATATTACGTTGCAGAGGACTTAATTGTTAACAAAAAATGATTTGATTTGATTTTATAATAAAATAAAATCATTTTTTATTTATTGTTTTTTTTGCTATTATACAAATTATTTTATGATAAATTTTTGCTATTATACAAATTATTTTATGATAGATTTTTGCTATTATACAAATTATTCTATGATAAATTTTTGCTATTATATAAATTATTTTATGATAAATTTTTGCTATTATATAAATTATTTTATGATAGATTTTTGCTATTATATAAATTATTTTATGATAGATTTTTTGCTATTATACAATTATTTTATGATAGATTTTTGCTATTATACAAATTATTCTATGATAAATTTTGCTATTATATAAATTATTTTATGATAGATTTTTGCTATTATATAAATTATTTTATGATAGATTTTTGCTATTATACAAATTATTCTATGATAAATTTTTGCTATTATATAAATTATTTTATGATAAATTTTTGCTATTATACAAATTATTTTATGATAGATTTTTGCTATTATACAAAATATTTTATGATAAATTTTTGCTATTATACAAAATATTTTATGATAGATTTTTGCTATTATACAAATTATTCTATGATAGATTTTTGCTATTATACAAATTATTTTTGATTCTCGTAAATAAATTTTAGGTGCTCATTGCAGAATGATGATTAACAAACTCATGTTATTAACATGTATTAAGATTGGTCCTGGCTTACAGCCACATTACATTGAAACACCAATTCCCACATGATCATTGAAGTTAAGCAATGTCGAGCCTGGTCATTACCTAGATGGGTGACCATTTGAGAATACCAAGTGCTGTAAGCTTGTATGTGTGGGTGGTGTAAGGAATAATGGCTTGGAATTATTAATTGGAGAGCAGAGTTCCAATTCCAGTAGGGTTTGTTATATTCACTTACACACAAATACACTTTGGAAATGTATGAATCCACCAGCTCTTTCCCCCCAGCTATGAGTTAATAAGTAAGAGTAATGGATAGCGGCTTGGATTGCGGAATCAGAGAGCCGAGTTCGATTCCAATTGAATCCATTACATTCACTTATGTCCTAATACCCTTGGGAAAGGTATGAATCCTGTTGTTCTCCCCCTAGCTATGGGTAAAAAGCAGGACCAGGTTCTATAGCCTTGGATGGCAACTGGTCTGCCGCAGAAAGAAATGGCAGCCTACTGCAGGGACAAAAACTGCTTCGTCAATCATGCATCGAAAGATACATGATCACCTCAGTGTGTATCACGCATGGCACATAACTGACTGGCCCTTGGGAAAGGTATAAATCCTCTTCTTCCTCCCTTCATCTATGGGTAAATAGTAGAACAGACCGGATTCTGTAGCCTTGGATAGCAACTGGTCTACCACAGAAAGAAATGGCAACCTACTGCGGGAAAAAAATCTGCCTCGTCAGTCATGTATCGAAAGATAAATGATTGCCTAAGTGTGTGTCACGCATGACACATAACTGACTGACTGTATCACTAAACCATTATTACCTCCAAAAAAATTCTTACAATATAGAAATATTTTCTTTGATAAGCTGAAGAAAACTTTATATAATTATGTCTATTATTGCTTATAATATAGCAAGCTGACCTCAAACTATCAGCTTGTGCACCCTTAAATCTATTGGGTGCTTCATTACAATGTCCTTGTGCCAGACAAAGTTTAGTTTAAATATCTATTTGATCATTTTCTATATAGCAACCTGTCCTCTCAGACTATCAGCTGGTTCTGTATTTTATATCTTTATTGGGTGCTTCATTATAATTACCTTGTGCCAGACTAAATGTCAATTAAATCCATATAAATTGTAGGAAGTTGAACAATGTATTGTTTTAATTTTACTGATAAGATGTTCCCTTCACTTCAACAATTCAAAAACAAACCAAGATTAAAATTTCTTTTATATAATCATGGGATTTAAAACAAATGTACTGATAAGACACACACTTAAACTAGATTTACGCTATTCATTGTTTTACCTGACACATACACACACACACACACACACACACACACACATATATATATATATATATATATATAGGGTGTCCCAGAAAAATTGCCATCATTTGAAATGTGAATATCTGAGTAACTACATGTCCCAAACAAACGAAATAAAGTAGGCTTCACGTTGAACAATAAAAGATTTACTTATGAAAATTTGAACAAGATATTCAAATGGATATAGCATATCTGACAGTATAGCTACGACTTTCTTTCTACATTCATCTACAAATATCTTTGTGTTTGTCAACTTCAATGAACATCATTTCAAGTGGCTTCATCATTCTAATGCTACTGATCTCACTCACATTCAGACTTTCTCAATTGCTCAATCTCAATCAAATAATAGATTTCCCTACTCATTTCCCTGGGTCAACTGCTGAATTAGTCAATATTTATTACTAAAAGAGTCTATCGAGCTTTAGATAAGAATGGTGAATGGGCTGTTGATTTGGATATCTCAAAGGTATTTAACAGGGTTGGGCATGCTGGTCATCTTTAAATATTACGGTATGTCTGGACAAATTTTTGAACTGATTCAATCTTTCTTATCAAATTGCAAAATGAAAGTTGTCTTGAATGGCCACTCTTCTAGATCTTTTTGCATTAATGCAGATGTCCTCCAGATCTTTATTCACAGAAGCATATGCTTATATATGGCAATTTTTTAAATCTGAATTAAAAATAAATAACACGGGTAAAATATTTATTAAAATATGCTTTTAAAAATGGTTATGCAAATTAAATATTACCACTAATACTGTGAAAACTGTTGCATTATGTGTCATCTCAGGGTTCCCACGCTATTAATAAAAACAGTATCAACGAAAAGAGTCATTTACTTTTGGTATTTGTTTTATTAACACTGTCAGCTTGGATTCTAAGAGGCAGTAATAGAACTGACGTGACAGGAATGCATGTCACATGTTGGCTCAGCGTTCCTCTGTGAGTGGTATTAGCTGGTTGCAAACCTGGGAGTGGGAGGCATACCAACACAGAATTCTCAAAAACCCTCTGTTGAATTCATACCATTTTGGACTTATGTTCAAAACCCAGACAAAGGCAATCTATCACTGTCAGAATGCTTGGCCCACAAGGCACTCTAGCTAATTGCTGACCATTTCTCCCTAGCCTTCACATTCTGTAACAAAACTCTTTGTTAGTAATATATATAAGAGGTTGGTAACATTCCTTGTCTGTTAACAATTATTCAACAGATATAAGGTGGTGACACACAGACAAAATTTCGTCTTACATGAATTTATAAAAGATAATGATCATCATCATAATAATAATAATGGTTGCTTGTTTATATATATACTAGTCTGCTTGGGTGGCTAGCTGAACCTTGTTGCAGGTGCCTGCTCAGGCAAACTTCTGTTTCTACAATACTCACTGAGCCAATGTGTGGTTCATATTGCATCAATGCTTAGCAGAACTTAGTTCCAAACTTTGAGAGAGAGCAGACAGTTTGCCCTGATCAACAATTTGAACAAGGCCAGTATGCTCAAACCCTTGGTGACTTTTTGCTCATACAACCATTAACTGTTTTTGAACAGTTTTGTGTGTCCAGTTTCACTCACAAGACTTGGGTCTATCCCTGATATGGTGTTTCAGGCACTCCCCAATGGTACTACTTGCTGGGATCATCTTCCTGAACCTGTTACTATCAAGAGATCACTTCCTTAATATATTGGCTATGGTGAGATTTGAATCCAGGTTAGAACACAAACTTTCTAACCACTAAGCCAAATAAATACATCCTCCCCAAAACCTCGTCCTTGCTCACATGCTCGGTCCATATTATCTTGAGCATCCTTCTGTAGAACCACATCAATGCTGCCTCGATTCTCTTCATCTTTGAGGAGATCATCTGACATTCACTGCTGTAAAGGAGAACAAATACACATCATTCTGCATGACTAGATCTCATATTCCTTCTATACTTGTAACTCAGATCAAATGCTGTTACCTAGCGTCCATGTGAGCTACAAATTGGAGATCAAGTCAGCACTGAAATTTAACAATCTGGGAACTGTTATAACAGATGATGGAAAATACTTTCTTTTTTTTTTTTTTTTTTTTTAAAGCATTTTACCCCAAGCCAGGCAGGAGTGCCACTAGCACACAGGGGGTTACAGAGAGTGAAAATGAGAGAAAAGAGTGGGTGTAGGGGGAATTGAGGAAAGGAAAAAAGGACAGGGATCAAGGCAAAAGAGGATGGCAATTGACGTATTTAAAGAAGATTGTAGTTATCAGGGAAGCAAGTGAGAGGAAGGGATTTCCAATGTCGGGAAGTGTGAGGAAAGAAACTGTTGGAGTAGAAGTGGCAGTTACATTTAACTATTTCAACAGTAAATGGGTGGGACCTAGATGCCAATCCAGTAGCACATTTAAATACATGTAGTCAAGGCACCAGGGAAAAAAGCTTGTCACAGCAGTAGCTATGAAAATATTTGTAGAAAAGACAGAGGGAAGCCACATCATGTTTGTGAGAAAGTGTCTGAAGTCGAGAAGCCAATTTAGAACTGATTACATGTGACATAGAAATCCCAAGATGCATTGAAATAAACTTGTAGAAACTAAGAACAATATTAAGAAATAGGAAAATTTAATTGAAAACCAAGATAAGAGGGCTTAACTGTTATATAATATTAATCCTCCTCCTTTATGGCAATGAATGCTGGACAATTTCCTCACAGATGATGCAAAGACTTAGTTCTACAAAAGTATGTTGAGAATGCCATAGACTAAATAAGTGAATAACAAGGAATTTTTAAGGATAATGGAAAAAAAATGAACACTAATAGTTACAATCAGAAAGAGACCATTGAAATTTCTTGGACACATAATGAGGAAAGGTAGTTTGGAGAATCTAACTCTCACAGGACATATTTTATAAAAAAAAAAAAAATCAATCATATTATAACAAAAGTATTTTGTTATAATATTTCTCATACATCTTTAGAAGATAAGTAGATAAATTCCTTTTAAGTCTACTTAGTTGTCTGAGTTTCGTAGGAATTTCGTCTCCAGTTCATTTTTGAGTAAACTTAAGTGTCAGTGTCTTGGGGATTTATGTCTACAGCTGCCTTTGAATTGGCAAACATAAAATGTTGTTAATGATTTTAGATAGTCATAAAAGTAGTCCTTTGAAGATTTGACCACCCATGTGGCTTTGGAGTGCTCTCAAAACTTCCGGAGCACAAGTGGATGGTGTGGGTGAGACCCCAGCCATTATCTATATAAGCAGAGAGAGGCAGGAAGTCAAAGAGAAAGGGGTTCAGCAGTCAGTGAATTGGTAGCTGACCAGCAGCCAGGAATTGAGGAATCAGTAGTGACTGAGGCGACAGGCAGTGAATGTAAGGGTCCTTTTCCATGGCTGGAAGTTAGTAAGATAGCAGTCCACTTCTCGAAGCTGAAGGAAGGATCCCATGGTTAAGTGAGAAATAGTACTGTTGTTAACTCCCAACCCATGTCTTTAAAAACAATTGATCATGGACAAGAGAACAAATCTGTGAGCATAGTGAAGTTGGATGTATATGCAGATACCTCAGATGTCATCACAGGTGCAGTGAACAACATCATCAGAAATTTCACAACGAAAGTCAGAACAATATTAATTCCATGTTCAGAATTTTTATGTTGGATTTACGGTAGGTTCTTTTGTTCCAATTCCAGACCATAATTTCTCTTTTGAAAAGGTTTATCTTGGGTTCTACTTCTTGGACTATTTAGTAGAGCACATTGCTTCTCTTCTTCTTCTTCTTTTTTTAAAGCCATTTTTAATCAATGATCTTAA